TTAGAGTACCTGAGTTTAATAGCAGAATACTTTCATTTTACTATGGTTTGCAGATTGAGAGAAACTGAACTTAATGGCCATGGTAGTCTTGAATATATTCTTATTTTAAGATAATACAAGTTTTACACACCAAAGTAGGGTACCTAAGTTTAATACCAGAATACTTTCATTTTACAGTGGTTTGCAGATTGAGAGAAACCGAACTTAAGGATAGACAAGGTTATTATAAATCTAAAAAGCTTGCTATATAGACAAAAGATTAAGAAAATCTGTGATATTTGATAGGAAACACACACACACCAAAACCTTCTAGTTCTGAAGATTGTAATATCCAGATGCAAAAAAACTGAATGAATAAAATGAAATCTCATACAAACAATAAAGTTGCAGAAGACAAAAAATAGATTCCCCCCCTTTTTTGGGGGGGAGGGAGTTGATAGGGTTTCTCTGTGTAACAGCCCTGGCTGTTCTGGAACTAGCTCTGTAGACAAGCTAGACTCGAACTCACAGAGCTCCGCCTGCCTCTACCTCCCAAGCCCTGGAATTAAAGGTGTTCCCCACCACTGCCCAACTAAAAACAGATCTCTTAAAAGAAGCTAAGAGATTTACATTTGAAAAGGATTTCAAAGAAGTATTAACTTTCAGTTCAAAGAAATACAGGTGATAGAAGAGTCAGCTAAACCATACCAAAGTAACACTAATAAACTTTCAAAAACATAGTAAAGCTAAAAGAATGGAAATAACAAGTTCATACTAGAAAAAAAAAATTACAAATATAAAAAAGAACAAGAGTCAATGTCTTCATACAAATAAATTTACATTATATAAAGTATTCTGAATCTAAAATTTCATCTAATTTAAAATTCATAAGATGTAGGAAAAAAACCACTTCAAATTAAGCTGTCATTACACTTAGACTTGGCACTAAAACTTTTTTTAATAATTTTCAAGAAATGTTATTGTATTAATTTGTGTGGAGAACCTTTTTGAGTCGGGGGTGGATACATGCCACAGTACATGTGAGGAGTTCAGAGGACAACTTGCTAGCGCCAGTTCTCTCCTTCTACCATGGAGGTTCTAGGGATTGAATGCAGGTCAGGCAAGTGCCCTTACTCCTTGAGCAATCTTGCTGGCCCTTAAAACTGTATTACACTAAATAAATAAATAAATCAATCTTTATCATACTTCAATATTGTTTACCACAGAGAGAAATAAATTCATTAAGAAATCTTGTATAGGGGCTGGGAAGACACCTCAACAATTAGGAACACTTGTTGTTCCTGTAGAGAACCTGTATGGCTTCAGTTTCCATCACCTACATGGTGGCTAACCGGGCTTGCTCCAGCACCAGGAAGAATGCATACAGAAGGGGAGAACACACACATTTTTTTTTTTTAATTTTTAAATTCACTGTTATCTCTGGAAGTCTATTGGAAATAATTTTTATATACCATGTTTATGTGAAAGCAAATGAAATTAATTATTAATGAAGATAAATTTTCCTCTCAAACAGTTCACATACACAATGTAGGCAAAACAAAATGCTAATATGAAAAACTGACAAACTTTAACATTTGACACACAAATGACAGATAATGAGATTTTCGTGCTTAATACGATTATCTCCAGTTGCATCCATTTTCATGCAAACAGCATAATTTCATTTTTCTTATGACTGAAAATACTTTCAATGTATAGATAACCATGTTTTCTACATACATTCATCTCTTGTTGGATACCCAGGTTGGTTCTAAAACTATTGTGACAGTGTTGTAGTGAACACTGGCATCCAAATATTCTCTGTGATATGTAGACTTGAACTCTTTTGGGTAAATACAGAGAAATGGTATAGCAGGATCATATGGTAGGTCTGCTTTAGTTTTCTTAGGAACCTCCATACTTATTTCCATAATGCCAGGACTAGTTTATATTCCCACAAGTGTACAAGGATCTCTCTTCTGTCTCATCCTCACCAGCATTTTTTGTTATTTCCTTTTGATGACTTCTACTCTGACTGGGGTGAGACAGAAAACCAACAGAGTTTTATTTACATTTCTCTGATAGCTAGTGATGTCCAACATGCATTCATATATGGACTTCTCATTTATTTTTCATCCTTTGAGGATCAGGGTCTTTTACGTTGTCATTTTTCTTTGTTTTAAATTGGGTCTCATGAAGCCTGGGCTGTCCTTAAACTTCCTGTGGTCAAGGATGACCTTGAACTTCTGATCTTATGACCTCCACCTCCAAAATGCTGGAGTGATTGACTGGAACCAACACATAACATTTATGTTATGCTGGGAATGGACCCAGAGCTTTGTGCATGCTGGGCAAGCACCCCTCCAATTGAGCCACATCCACAGGCCATTGGTTGACACATTTAACAAAGAGAAAATGTTAGCTAAATATTTTTAAGAATAGTCTTTTTTTAAAAAAATAAAGTTAATTTAAATGATCACAGAGGCTATTATCACAAACAAATTATAAAGTATTATACTGAATAAGCACAAAATAAAAACATTTCCTCAAAAACCTAGAGCCAAATTAAGTATGACCACTCTTAGCTCATATAACAATGGAATTGTTAAGCAGGTCAGGTGAAGAAACAAAATAAGACTAGCAGGAAGGAAAGAAGTTAAATTCCACCTCTTTATAGATGATATGACTCTATATACAGAATAACCTAAAGACTTTTAAAGATTACTAGAACTGGTAACTGAATTCAGTAAGGTTGTAGAATATGGCAATGTACCATTATGAAAATGTGTCCTACATTCTAAGAGACTGGAACTTTGCAGGACCTCACAGCCAGTTAATAATACACCATGAGGTCATTTAAAATTTAAGACTGCTATCCTCCTGTGCTTTCTACACATTTATTTATTAACCTTTAAGAGAACAATTTAACAACCAACCTTACTTGCCATGGATTTCCCATTTAATAACCTAAACTAAGGCAAATGGTTGCAATTTTAAGCTATATACGACTTCATGCCCCTGACCCAGAAGTTATGCATCCATGTATGTATGTGTGCTATGGTCACATATTTGAAAGCAACAAATAGGTTGAAAAGCAACCTTATAAAACAAATATTCACCAAAAATGTTGGATGTAGCATATGGATATTGTTTGATAGCGTTTGTTTGTTATCTGGGCCCACTGTAATTATTAACATCTTGTTCTTTGTAAAAACCTTAGAGTTCTGTAAAGTATCCCTCATGTCTTACCCATGTGGTGCTTTCTACGCTATTCAGTTAACATAGAGCAAACCCCCTTTGTTAGGGTCTCTCTCTTTCTGCCCTTCCAACCCCTCTTTCTCCCCCTACCCATCTCCAGCATCATTCAGGAAGGAAGATTCAGACTCATACAACCAATAGACAAGAGAAAATGTAAGACAAAGGGAGAGAGGTGCAGAGAAATCATATCTGGGTTCCCTCCTGGCAAAATTACTTCAAGGGAAAGTGCTTTAATTTTTTAATGTGACACTGGTGCATTTTGGTGCTCTAAGGTTGTTACTAATAGGTTCAACCAACACAATAGATTGCAAAATTATCAATGTATGAAGAATCAATGTCACTTTAACACAGTAATTGACAAAACCTGTTAAGAAATAATGAGGGGCCATGGAAATGACTCAGTGAGTAAAAGTATTTGCTGTACAAGCATGTGGAATGAGTTTAAATCCCCGGTATCCATGTAAAAGGTGGGTCATGTCCACATATGCTTTTAACTCAAGTACTAGTTTGCAGAAACAAGTGGATCACTTACTAGCCGGCTTAGCCAATGAGATATCATCACAAAATGATACTGTATAGTTAGTTAATAACAAATGTGAGGTATAGTTGATTTCAAATTAGGCTACATACAGAGCTATAGTAGGGATTAGCAATGTACACAAAGGTAAGAGATCTCAAGAATAAACTCATGCAATTAAGAAGCAACTGATTTTTCATAAAAGAACTAAAAACATTACCAGAGAAAAGGCAAACTCATTAATACAAAATTCTGGTAAAACTAGGAATCACTATGCAGAGGATTAAAATTGAACTATTACCTCAAATCCTGTGCAAAAATCAACTCAAAATTAAATAGAGACATAAATTTCAGACCTGAAACTATGAAACTACTAGAAAAATAAACTCAGGAGAAACACTAGTACAGACAATGTCATTAGGATAGGCAATCATTTCTGAAGATAATTCACAGGAAAATAAAGGCTGGAAAAGACATAAAAGATTTTGCAGAGCAAAGGAATCAATCAGTAAGAGTGACAAAAACAAGGCTGTGGTGGCACACGCCTTTTAATCCCAGCACTGGGGAGGCAGAGGCAGGTGGGTTTCTGAGTTTTCAGGCCAGCCTGGTCTACAGAGTGACTTCCAGGACAGCCAAGGCTACACAGAGAAACCCTAGGGGTTGGGGGGGGGGGCAACCTACAAAACATATTTGCTTACTATTATTCATTTGACGGATGATTAATATCCAGAATATAAGGACTTCAAAATTCTTAACAAAATTTCATGCAATCCAATTAAGAAGTGGGCAAATTATCTATCTAAACATGCTACTCAAGAGGAGAGATTACAAAAGGACAACAAGTATTTGAACAAAGAGGTAAAAATGTTGCTAAATTGTAGAGTGCTTGTCTAGCAAGTACAAGGCCCTCGATTCAATCCTCAGCACCACACAAACGAGTGATCCAAGCATTTGAGAAGTGAAAGCTGTTAGTTGGCTGTGTTTAATTTTTCACTTATTTCACGTGCAATCATCGTTGGTCAATAAAAAGTCAGCAATCTAATTCTTTTTAATAAAATACAAAGTATTTAAGTAAAAGACAACAAACAAAATAATACTGATTTCCCTTTTCTAATCTCTTGAAGAAGTAACATGTTCAAATAATAAAATAAAAAAACAGAAAGAGCTCTATTTTTTTAATAACCAATAATTTACCTCCACAAAAAAAAAAAGAAAATAGGAAATAAGCATAAAAATGTATACCAACCTTCCAGTAGTCAGACTGTAAACTGTAGTACCTCTGGTATGCAGACAGTGCTAAAAGAAGGAGAATAAATTATGAGTCACCATCTTTAAAAATCAATGAAAAGTTTTAAGAAATATTATAGTATTTAAAAGTTGACTTGCTGATAAGCACTGATTTCTCACTTGAACCCATAAGATAAATAAAGCAGGATAAAAGCCTGACATCTTTGCCTGCATTTTGTCTGTCTCCTTTACTTTTGAGTCACCCACTTAACTGTACTGGTAGACATATTAGTCACTCCATTTGTGGATATTTAACCCATCTCCCCACACCTCCCCCCCTCCTCTTAAAAGCACACACACACACACACACACACACACACACACACACACACACACACACACACACAAATAACTGAAGCATTTTACTGTCATCTTTCACAGCCTGTTCTAAACTCCAGAAAAGCTATGCTCTAAACCTACAGTCACCCGGGATGCTTAGAAGAGGAGAGACTCATCTCCAGATCACTCCACGAGTTTACTACCAAGGCAGGAACAATCCCTTGGTGCTTCATAGGCAATGTGATCAAAAGAGATGCACAATTCCCTCCCCAAAAAAAAAAAAAAAAAAAAAAAAAAAAAAAAAAAAAAGCAAAAGGCCATGCAGGTCAGATTCAACAAGCTATTTCTACATGCTCAGAGATTCTAGTTCTGGAACTTTGCAATCCTTAAAACATGGAGAGCTAAGAATTATCAGCTATCTAAAGAAAGCATCCAAGCAAAAAGAAACAAGGGGGAGGGGATGACTAAAAGAAAAGAAAAATAAATGATAAAATCAGATGAAAAAAATCTTTAAGAGGAAGAAACGCTGCTTTCATAAAACTAAGAAAATCCTGGGAAAAAAGCAGGATGCTCTAAAGAAATAAAATTTCAAAAACAAAATTATTATAGGATAAGATTAGTAAGCTCAAGAGACCCCATCAAAAATGAACAAAAACAGAAAAGAAAGAACTTGTTTACTGGAGGGCTAACATATCAGTAACAGTATTCCAAAAAGAAAGAACATAAGCAAAGGATAAAATTCAAGCAATGATTCTGAAATGGGTACTAGAAAAGCCTGCTCTTGCTAAAAAGCATTGAATCCTCACTTGAGCCCAGAAGCTAACTTTAGGATGAAAAGATTTAAAATATCTCTACCTTTATTTTCTATCTATGTCCCTGCTTGAATCTGTCTAACCTAATATATCTCATTCCTGTCAAGGCTAAAGGCAAAAAGATATGCTGTTTTCCAAAACCTCCAGTCACCTTAGACTTCAAAAAGGAAAACCTTCCAGGGCAGATAGTCCCCTTCTCCAACAAAAGCAGTTATCCTTGAAAGTGAAGCTGCATCCTGAAACTAAAGTAATCATGTTGTAGATATCAGATTGGTCCCCTCAGGGAATGACAATGTATTAACAATTTATCCAAACACCTTGTATAACCAGAGCACAAGACCACTTCTAACTTGGACTGCTTAATTATGCCACCTCTTGCCCTCTAGTTAAACCTAAGCCTCATGTTAGTACATACAAGACAGACCTATAGGGCCACTGAACCTTATCTGCTTTTCACACTGTGGCTACAATGAATAGATCTCCTCTCCACTTTCCACCATTATTCATTTGGTAACTGGTGGATTAAGACCGAGCCTAGCCTGTAGGAGCTTGGACTTCTACCCTTAGAAATTCAAAGTTACAATTTCAGAAAATTCCCAGAAAGAAAGCTATAGGTTAATAGACTGAAAAGGCCTACAACAGATGTTAAGTCTAGAATAAGGCAATGTAACATTTTCAAACTTCAAAAAAAAAAAAATTATCTGCCAGGTGGTAGTGGGCACACACCTTTAATCCCAGCACTCAGGAGGCAGATGGATCTCTGTGAGTTCGAGACCAGCCTGGTGTACAGAGTGAGTTCCAGGACAGCCTCCAAAGCAACAAAGAAACCCTGTCTTGAATAACAAAATATAGAGATAGGTAGGTAGGTAGGTAGGTAGATCTCCAACAATAAAATTTAGATATCCATTATTTTTATTTTATTTTGTTTTTTGTTTTTTTGTCTGAGACAGGGTTTCTCTGTGGCTTTGGAGGCTGTCCTAGAACTAGCTCTTGTAGACCAGGCTGGTCTCCAACTCACAGAGATCCTCCTGCCTCTGCCTACGAATGCTGGGATTAAAGGCGTGCGCCACCACCGCCCGGCAAGATATCCACATTCTTAATTCGGAGGATAAAGATATTTTCCTATATATAGCAACTCACCCGAAATTAACTTTCAGCATCAGGTATCAGCAGACTTGAAAATCGTTAAGGAGAGCCCTCCCCCATAATCAGGAGCTTGCAAAACCAGAACTCAAACTACAGGACTTGGACTACTGGTCACAAGAATGGAATATGAGTAAATCTCTGGCTCTGGGTAGAGACACGATATTGTAAGCTTCCCAAAATATTTTAAAATTACTATCTAAGTAGAGGTTTTCTGTTAAAGCCCAAAGATGTAATACTGTACCCTACTTAACAGTTAATGCCTGCTAATCACCTGGACAAGAAAACATCCCTCAAGAAGTTGATCTGTTACTAAAACTTTGAAAATAAGCCCTACCTAAATGTAGGTGGCACAATGGCCTCTAGACATTGAACTCTTTTTGTTGTTGTTGTTGTTGTTGTTGTTTTAGTTTTGGGATTTGGTTTTTCTGTGTAACAGCCCTGGCTGTCCCGGAAACATCATAGAACAGACTGGCATCAAACTCAAGGAAATCTGCCTTCCTCTCTGCCTCCTGAATGCTGGGGTTAAAAGGTTGAGCCACCACTGCCCAGTTTACATTGAACTCTTGTGACAATGCTCTATACTAAAAAGGTCTCTTTAGCCACTGCCAAATACTATTCCTTGAGAATAATAAGCTATATCTTCTATACTATACTTTGGAGTATTTTGTATGAATTCTTCTGAAAAAGATCCCAGTTCAGAGAGAAATCAGGTAACAGCAAAACCATTCCTGAAGATAATACTGTCAAGCATGTTCCTCTAGAAATACAATACATACAAAGAGGATACAAATCATTGAAAACCAAGAGACATAAATGAAATGAACCTTTACGAACACCCAAGATAAAGGAAAAGTGAACTCCCAGGATAACAATTACACGCGAGCTAAAAACAAGTGTTTCTATAGTGAATGGTATGACTGACATTTCAGATTATGTTTTCAGCACATTCCCAAACTCCCATCGCAGATTTACTAGTGTTGCTCCTGACAATCTCAGTGATACTATTAGTCTGGAAATGTGCCAAGGACCTGTGGTCCAACCACCAATGACTTACATTTGAAAATCAAGGGAAAGGGTTTCTCCCTCCTGCTGGATATAATCAAGGTAATAAATACCACAAAATACCATCACAATAGGAGCTATTTCCCCGGCACACAGAAGAAAGCAGAAGAACCAAATCAAAAGTGACAGATCCTTGACTTGAACCTGTGTGTAGAACACAACCCATCTATTAACTTTCTAATTATATGAAGAATATCTTTACTGTAAAAGGTAATCTTTGACATTTGTAGCCAAAAATCATTATATTCAATAGACATCTGGGTATACAACAATTCTGTACAGTTAGGATAAAAACGCCAAAACTGCTGTTTTATGATTCCATTTTAATACGAATAACCTAGAAAATGTTTTCAATAACCACATTAATAACACTCATAAAATTCCTGACTGCATAAAATTGACTTTCAGAATTAGAAACTTTTTTTTTTTCTTTTTTTGGTTTTCCAAGACAGGATTTCTCTGTGGCTTTTGGAGGCTGTCCTGGAACTAGCCTTGTACACCAGGCTGGGATTAAAGGCGTGCACCACCTACGCCCAGCCCAGAATTAGAACTTTTAAAGAAATCCGAATAGCATCCTTTTTGGGAGACAGGATTTCTCTGTGTAGCTTTGTAGACCAGGCTGACCTTGAACTCACAAAGATCCACCTGCCTCCGCCTCCTGAGTTCTGGGATTAAAGTTGTGCGACACCACCACACAAATTACTACCATCCATATTAAATGAAACTGCATTACAAGAAGCACACTATTACTGGTTGGTAGGAACATAGCATCTATACAACAATGTGGTGGATTAATAACTATGAAACTTCAAATTCAATGTCATAGTTGATATTCTAAATTGTAAGTAGAGGCTTTCCGCCAACCGACCCAGGAACGAGGTGAGTGAGCCTCTGCCCTTACCCAACCCCACCCAAACCATCACTCACCCAGATCACCCCAGGCCTGGCCCGACTGCTTGGGGTAGACACACACAGACAAGGAGGAGCTCCCTGAATCTGGAAACACCCAACTCTTCCATCACTTTCCGCCAACCAATCCACAACAAGTGAGGAGACTACCAGGAGAGGCAAGACCATCCAGAGTTGCAGATATTGAATTCCTGGCCCCCACACACCACTGATAGAGAGACCCCACCTGCACCCACTAGAAGAAGATATGGGAAGAAGACAGAATAAGATTTCACTCAACAACAGAAAGACCAATATGACACCACCAGAATCTAGGGACCCCAATCCAGCAAGATATGAAAAGCCCAACACAGAGCATGAAGGTGAGATGGGACCTCAAAAAATATCTCAGCAAGATGATGGAGACCTTTAAAGAGGAAACAAGAAAACCCCTTAAACAAATAAGAAAAAGCAAACGAAAAATTACACGAAATGGAGGAAAAGACAAACTCAAAAATTCAAGAAATAAACAAATCTCTTAAAGAATCTAAAGAAACCCAAGAAAAAACATCCAAACAAGTGAAGGAAGTTCTTGAAACAGTTCAAAGCATGAAAGCTGAAATAGACACAATAAAGAACACACAGAATGAGGCGCTGCTGGAAATGGAAAGGCTGGATAAATGATCAGGAACTAAAGATGTGAGTATAACCAATAGAATTCAAGAGATGGAAGAGAGAATCTCAGCTATTAAAGACTTGCTAGAGGATATATATTCATCAACCAAAGTAAACCTCAAGTCCAACAAATCCCTAACACAAAAT